GAAATCAGAACTAGAAACCGAATCTTAGAAGTTAATTCATAATAATAGTTTCTTTTTAGAATTTTAAGTTATAATTCTTAAAAAACAATTATTAAATATAGCTATAAGTTAGAATAGATTTGCAGTTATTTCATAATAGTTTCTTTCTGTTTTCAGTAACAGAATATGGCGAGTTAAATATACCGTACACAATGGTTAAATCCCAAAGGGGTGGAGATCTCATTCTTATTGACAATTACACATTCTCTCGAGTTGCTAAAATGAACAATTTTGTATGGATTTGCTCGTTAAAACGACCTAATTGCAAAGCAAAAGTACGATTAAACGAGTTTAAAAAAATAATAGAGATTTGTAATGAACACAATCATGCGCCCAGAGACAATAGTTTAAGAAAATATAAAATGCAGTCTGCCACTATGTAAGAATTCGTCGTTAGTATTGAACTCGAGCTAATGAAACTATATGCCTGCCTGTACCTTCACATTCGCTTTGACGAGGCAGGGTACCAGATGTGCTTTTGGAAGGATATGCCTGTAGTGTCTCTCTGTTAGACGACCCGCTGTTTCAGGGGAAAATATCCCTCATCCTAAAAGGGCTCAGGGTATCAAACCTCTGTTATTATAATATCTAGAATATGTGTTATATTTTTTTAGAAAAACAATATTTTCTCTTTAATATAAAATCGATAAAAATTTAGAGTAAATTTTTAGTCAGTTGGTTCCTCGACAATTTTGTCGTGCAAGAAGTATAACAGTAAGGACGCCCTGCTTGTCACAATGGTTTGACGGTTGTCATGAAGTATTCACACAACCCTGAGCCCTTCTGTATTCTGAGCCTGAGCCCCTTCAGTAAACATGCCACGCTTGTATATAAAATAATAACAAAAAAAAACGGTGTCGTCACCGGAATGGCCATCATCATCCGTCGAAAGAGGCCCACTGCTAAAGGAACACTAAATTTCTCCTCGTCAAATTTGTTTTAAGTTTGTTACGCGCAATTTTTTTTCACCGGCCGGTGCGGATACCTACTTTTAAGAGACTCAATGTGTATAGAATTCCAAAATTGATTCGTACGAGTCTTTTTTGGGGACAGCCTCTTAAGTTTATATCAATTACCCACGGGTATACATGTAGGTATATCTATGTATGTAGAATAAAAAAAACTATTGTCTTACTACTATTTGCTTGTAAACTCTCGTGGTCAACTTTTGTGATATACTAATTCCATTACGCTTTACGGCTTACTCAGGTTAGGTCAGGTACTTTCTTATCATTAGTACGGCTTGGAACTAGTGTAGTTGTCTTGTTAAGCGGTTACGTCATTAAATGGTACGGCTTACTCACGTAATTCGTACATGAAATTATTAAATAATTGTTAATAATTAGTATACTTGCTTGTTTTGTAAATGAAAGTTGCTAACAAAAGCATCATTTGTGAGTTTTGAATGAAGAGAGCAATGCGAAATATTTTATATAAGTTATGTTATGTTACACAAGACAGCGATAAAGTTTAATAAATGTCTATAAACATTGAAGTGTTTTTGATATCATCATTAGTGTCTTAATATGAGTAGGTAAAATGTACCAGATAAATTTGGATATAGAACTTTGTGCCACATAAGTACATCAAGAACATTATATAAAAACGCACGATGATTGCCGCTTACCGTAAACGCGGGTGTGCGGAAGACGAGAAAGGATAGTTCTCCGCCCGACCAGAACCACTTCCGAACGAAGGGCGCGTAGCGTTCCACGCGCGCCTTAAAGAGCCATCAGACCAACACTTATGGAGCCCTATAGGGCCAATGTTCAATAAGAGGTTGTTTATTATTTCCCCTACAAAAAAACTTGCAAAAAACATATAAAAGGGCGCAGATGAAGCCTATGTATTATTGATTGTTTTTTTTTTTACTATAAGTTAATTATATCCATGGTTTTATTGCAGATGATGTGTTATTGTCAAGTCCTGCGTACACGGTGATTAAATCCCAAAGAGGCAAAGATTTAATCCTTGTCGACAATTATACGTTTGCAAAAGTTGCGAAGTCTGATCTGATATGGGTGTGCTCGTTGAAAAGACCTTTTTGTAAAGCGAAACTCCGTTTAGACAATTATGGCAACATAGTGCAGCTACATAACAAGCACGATCATTTACCAAAACAATATATGAAAATGAAGAATGGAGAGTATGTACGAGTTGGATAATGTTTTCGTTAGGCCTTGAAAAATTTTGTTCGATTTTGAGCTGGTTTTTCAATTGTCCGATAAATGTTATCTGAGGAATACAATTTTTGCTGTCACTTTCTTATACGAACATTCTTACGCGACAGCATCATAATTATTCCCTAGGTAACTTTTATCTAACCATTGAAAAGTCAGCCCTTAGTCAATTGTTTAGTAGTTGGATTTCATTAAAATTATTTTTATCTAGTAATAAGCATATTTATATGGCTAGCAGTCAAGTGTGGTCTATTTTTTATTATATGTCAATGTTATCCTTTATAGAATGTGTTCTTTATAGATATTAATGACACATGGGTAAATAAATAAATATCCATATTGATTATCCTATCAGTTATTGTTCTCACCTTAATTTTTATTGAATATTTAGAAATTCAGTATATTTTTAGAGCATGTTTCTCTTCAAAGAATATTCGGTAAGTTATAAAGGCTGATTCGTCGAGACGGTTTACCTCATATTACTTATTTAATTTTTTTCTTTTTCTTTACAGAAAAACCATATTATTTAAATATGAGAAGCAAAAAGAAGCTGCTAATGTACCAGGGATATACCTTTAGTCGGTACGCACCTCGATACTTTTATTGTTCGAAAAAGGGATTTGGCTGCAAGGCTGCCCTTGTGCTAGACCACGACGGTTCACTAGTTATTATGAAGAATGCACACAACCATGAACCACCGAATTACACGTGCATCAATGGCATCCATATAAAGATATAATAGAAAAGGTCCCATCACTTAGTTGGGCATCGTCACATCATCAGCCGGAAGAACGTCCTTGTGTAAATAAAAACCTGCAGTGCTATCCTGTAAAATTGTAAATAGTAAATCTCATCTCGGAAATCATCTCGAAAGTCACACACCACTTCGCTTCTCATCTCGCCTGTACACAAACGTCAAAATATTCACTTGTTTTAGTTCTTTTGACTTCGTTATTCACAGGTGGCGCCAATGTAGATTTCAATCCATTTGAGAATACAAACCTTTAAATAAACATGATTTTACCGCGAATTCATAAGTGATTTCGCAAATTAACTTTGGGAATAGCATAGCTGTAGCTGATGACTTAATGGAGTCATCGCCATTTGTATCCATACCTACCAACTGGTATCCTCTCTCATCTATCCATCATATTCCTGATTAATCATATTCCTGATTAATCATATTTCTGGTTTGTTTACAAAACAGATTTTATTGTGGTTTATTTGTATCATTATACCTAAAGTATAAAACAAAGTCGCTTTCGCTGTCCCTATATCCCTATGTATGATTTAATGTTTAAAAGTTCGTAACGGATTTTGATGCGGTTTTATAATAGATAGAGAGATTGAATAGGAAGGTTTATATGTATAATAACATTCATTAAATAGTGTAGAAATTTAGTATCAGCATTGCATCCGTGCTAAGCCGTTACTGGTAGTTTTATAGAAATATAAGCTTATGTGGTAGTAAATGAAAGGAGTTACAGCCTCTTATTAAAAAAATGTATTTGAAATTTTGTGTAAACTACATTTGTACATGTGTTCATATTTTATATTATGTTAAGATTTTTTCGATGTTTTGAATGAATAAATATTAGTGTTACACATAATATAACCGACTAAATGATGTACAAAAATGAATCGTGAAACTGATCGGAAAAGAGTAACCATGGAGGTTCTTGCTCGTTCTTCTCCATAGGAATCTACCCTTTGGAACGAGCAAATAGTTTCACTAGAGGACAGACCGACAGATTGTGACACACAAAGTTGACCTTTTTGACGTTCAAAAGCGCCTCCAGTGGTCTATTTGAAATAAATGATTTGTCTATGACTTTGACTTTTATTTCTTATAATGTATGTTTAAATGGTGAATAGTTGCATCTTAACAATTGCTTTTATTAAAGTACTTACCTGAATGCCTAAAGGCCGTATGCATATCTAATGTAGTGTTAGATGAAGAGCGTCCTTTTCTCAAACAATGACTTCAAAATCAGTAAAGTTAAAATTGCAAAGATTGTTTTTACTTGTGGAGCTGTTGGTTGGTTAAAATTACAAACTTATCACTATAATGAACACGGAACACTTGGTGTAAAAAGTGTAAACGTGAGCGCAATGTTTCTAATGGAAGTCACTGTTATAATGTCATTTTTTTTATTCGCAGGAAACGTCAAGTTTATTCTACTAGGCAATAATAAAACACTGTTAATGGTGGACAATTATACATTTTCTCAGCACAAACACCGTTACTACTACTGCTCGCAAAGGTTTAAGGGTTGTCAAGCTAAGCTTAAACTGGATCAAAATAAAACACAGATTGTCTCTTTGTGTAATGAACATAATCATGATCCTCCTGTTTATAAACAGATGGACAGTGGACTCTATTTTAAAATTTAACATCAAAAACAAAACGTTTATGTTAGGGATACCAAAAAAAGACGTTATTGGTTTTGATTTTGAAAACAGGGACTGGAAAAGTAAAAGCGAGACTTATTGTATTCTTGAGAAACCAGTTTTTAATAATAAAGTTTTGAAATTAAAAGTTCTTTTTTATATTTTTAGGAAACATTATTATTGATTTATAAGTATTTTATTTTCAATCATGTTTACGATACTTACTTTAAAAAATGAAACAAAACGGTTGCAATAAAAAGCAAGATTATTTAAGTACTTGATTATTTTACGAGTAAGTATAAAACTTATTAAATATCTATCTAATAACAATCAAATATTGTTATATAAAACCGCGAGTCTGAATTGATGTAACATCCAATTTGTTTTTCTAGGTCCATATTGTAGCGTCACCGTGAACATTGAAAAATCAGATATGAAAAACTATCCTAAAAAGAAACTGGACAAGTCTAGCCCCGCTTACATAAGACAAAGGCAAATAGCAAATGCAAGAAAACGCGTATATTTGGACAAGCTTACTCCAGAACAGAGGGAAATAAAGAAAGCGAAAGATAGAGAATATTACTACAAGAAGAAGAATACTATGCAACGGAGATCTATTTATGATTTACCAGAAGACAAACAGCTTAAACTTCGAGCTCAGTGGAATAGAAATACAAAAAAATATAGACAAAAATGTATCATTGAACAAAATTTTGACACAGACACCACTGATTAAGATAACTCTGAAGTTTAAAGTATTGTAAAATATGTGCTTTATAATATTATAGCCTTGTATTGTAAGTCTGGTAGAGCCATGCCTCGGCACGAATGGGTCGGCTCGACCGGAATGATACCACGGCCTCACAGAAAACCGGCGTGAAACAACCACAGCGTTGTGTTTCACCGTGTGAGTGAGGTTACCTAAGGCCTAATCCTTCCCCTCCCCAAAACCCTCCTAATTCCCAAAATCTCCAAATCCCTAGTCCCCAAAAGGTCGGCAACACACACGTTTACAATCAGGTAAATCTAGGTAATGTAAGAGGCGCAACTGGTTATGCGACAAAGGCGGAATTTCTTTGGAGGCTAAAGACCTCACCAAGTTACATTTCTTTTATATGTATAAATACATATTTTTTTATGTGATATGTGCAAACGAGCAGACGGATTACCTGTTGGTAAGCAATCGGCGTCGCCCATGGACACCTGCAACAAAGAAGGAGTTACGAGAGCGTTGCCGACCTTTTAAGGATTGGGATTTTGGGGATTTTGGGATTGCGAAGGGATTGGGGTAGGGGAAGGATTGGGCCTCTGGTAACCTTACTCACACGGCGAAACAACGTTGTTGTTGTTTCACGCCGGTTTTCTGACACACATATTTCACATATTTCTGTTATATCTAATATAACACTTAGATTTATGTTATGAAAAATGTATTCCAGAACTTACGTGCATTTAATTATTAATAATTGTAATGTATCTAGGATACTAGGCTGCTGCTTTCGTTAAGGAAAAAATTTGTTAAATTGACATTCCTGTATGAGAGGGGATTTTCACCCTCATAATATGCATGTAAGTATTATCCTTATGTAAAAAGGCTTTTTAGCATTAAGTATTTAATAAATCACTTAAATCATTTTGAATTTATTTTATTTTGAAGATATTACATATATTGATAAAATTACCTCATTGATTGGTCTGTGAATTGACCTATCAGGTGTACTTGGTGTTTCTTATTCTTGAAAAGATAAAGATATTAAAATCTTCGATAACAACAGTAAAATAAAACATGTGCATGTTTTTTTATTTCAGTGAAGTTTATAAAACTGTCAGACAATAGGAGGGTTTTAATGGCTGAAGGGTATACCTTTGCTCAAACTACACCCAGACATTATTATTGTTCCAAAAAGGCAAAAGGATGTAAAGCGAAAATATTTTTAAATAAGGACGAGACTGAAATGATCCTCTACAACAATGAACATAATCACAATGCACCAATATATAAGTTAACTAATAAAGGATTTTATGTAAAGATTGCTGGGTAAAAGTGGTTTTTGTATAGTGTATATTAAACACGAAAATATACTTCAGTGTCGTGCCATGTTTTGACGCGCTGTAAGCGTCGGTACCAAACATTAATGCGAATTCACGGTTGGTGCGGTGACTGGGCAACTGACTGTCGCGCTTAACAATTCTTTCTGTGATTTACAAGTAGTTGTTCCGGGTCTGGATGTCATGTGTATGTGAAATTGTATGTTTAACTCACTGAGAAAAGCATACTGTTGCGCAAGGTTTGAAATATTATAATTATTGTTAGAGACGCACTTGTATCTTGTAAGATATGTCAGTATGTTTCTGGCCTTATCATACCCAACACGAAACATGACAAGATTGTTCGAGTAAGATTGCTCCTTTTTTGTTTTGTTCTTAGAAGTTAAATTCGTAATTTGTAACTTAAAATACTAGAAGAGCTTTTCTCAGTTCTTTGACGTGAGTAAATCGTTATTTTCAATAAATTTAACTATTATGACTCATATTATGTGGCATATAAGTCAGAGAAAAATAAATAACATTGAACTTCGTTATAATAGTTCGTTTATTAATTATTACTTTTTTTTCCTTGTTCTGTTAACACAGTCAGCCTAACTCTGTTTATTCTAACTCGCCCATAGCGTGCCTGCTGGACGAGATTTTGAAGAAATAAGCTGTGCCTTTGTACCTAATTGTTGTATTAATGTTCTTGTCTAACTAATTGTGTTCTCCTCTTTTAGTTTATAATATAATAATAATAGAAATGAGTGCAATGCCCATTATCTTAATAAGACATTGATTTTGTTACAGAATTTAAGTTCATATCGACAGGTTCAAAATATGACTTGCTGATGATAGGAAACTACCTACACATTTTCACAAAAGAATGGTGGAAGAAATTGGTACTGTTCACAAAAGAAAGGAACAAATTGCAAGGCTCGTGTCGCCATGGACGTTCAAAAGGAAATGATATTGTCTTATTCGAATGACCACAATCATGAACCAAAAAAATACGTAATTTCCAAAAGTGGCAAATATCTTTTCGATAGGACAGGTCTTTTCCTAACCTAGTTGTCGATCGAATTTCTATTGTACTAAAGGACTTTGACGGACTTCAGTTATTAAATAAATAAATAATAAAATCAAAATAACGTAATAGTTTTTACTTTATTTTTCTTTTAGTTTATTTTATAATATTAATAAAAATGAGCGTTTTAGCATTGGTAACCTACAATGACCATTGTCTTAATTAGATATTGATTTTGTTACAGAATTTAAGTTCATATCGACAGGTTCAAAATATGACTTGCTGATGATAGGAAACTACACATTTTCACAAAAGAATGGTGGAAGAAATTGGTATTGTTCACAAAGAAGAACACAATGCAAGGCTCGTGTCGCCATGGACGCTAAAAAGGAAATTATATTGTCTTATTTCGGTGACCACAACCATGAACCAAAAAAATACGTAATTTCCAAAAGTGGAAAGTATCTTTTTGATAAAAAGGGTCTTTTCCTAACCTAGTTGTCGATCGAATTTCTATTGTACTGAAGGACTTTGACGGACTTCAGTTATAACTTATAACCTCAGAATACAGAACAAACCAGAATCCGCGTTCACTCATAATTACATGTCGTCAAATGTGTCCAAAAACAATACGTCAATCCCCCCGCCAGCCGCACTTCCACCCGCGTAGTGTTGCCGACAGTGGAACAATTCCCTTGGTTTGGGGTAATTTTACAACAGGAGGGTAAGATACGAGTAAACCCAACAAAATAGGTAAACTTACGATAAATGCAACAGACTAGTTGTTCACACATTTCATAGAAGTATCATAAAAGTTGACGATTTCCGGCTGTGTTAATTTTAGTTACATCTACTATGCACAACAAATAAAATAAAGCTTCAATAAGTACAAAGGTTTTATTGCGTTCCCTTTTGCTGGTTTAGTTATTTTAATATGTTTTTTGACTCGGAACTAAAGATTAGAAGTCTACTTACTTTACTTAGTTCCTGAGATTAGCGCATTCTAGCAAACAAACAAACAAACTCTTCAGCATTATAATTAGTATAGATATGTCTTAGTAGGATATGTTGTTTTCAAACCACCTTTGTCATAAATATATCTCTTCAAAGTGAATTGAGCAAACTATGCTCTGGCTAGATGGTTTCCAAAATTAATCTAACCGTGCCCTTTGTATGATTTATATTTATTTTTTTGTCAGGGAAACTAATATGACATAGGCTCCATAATGGACAAAAATATAACCCACAACAAATAAATAAGTGGGTAAAAGTTTCACCAAGAATGACAACACTCACAAAATGGCCGCATCATTTTCATAGAAAAATAAATCGATAAAAAAATTCAATAATTAATTAAATATACTATTGCAGTCGATGCTTGCAGATGAAATGTAATCTTATCCACTTTTTTCGTAATTCCAGCCGCATTTTTACTCGTAAATACGTCACGACATGCCACGTGCCAAAATTGACTAATCGTAGAAATTTCATACTATTCTAGTTGAGAATGGTTTTCGTTGCTTCTATTTGAAGCGCGATGACGCCTTCTGGTTTGTTCTGTATTCTGAGCTTATAACACATACAGAGAAAACAACACCCAGACATAATGAGACATAAATAAAATACGGCTCAAAATAATAACTGTTGTCAATCTAAAATGTAACGGTTTTTTTTTAAACTTAGAACGGTCAGAGGTTTAAATGTTTGCCAACAACAGAAGAAAAAAAAAAAGAGGTTTAAATATAGGTACTCGACTACAGTAATCGAGTACATCGACTTTAAGAATATTTTAAACATACAAATAAGAATATTTTGTAGATACGCTAGGACGCATCATTTTTGTTTTGAAATTATAGTTTTGAATCGTTTTGTCATTTAATTTGTTTTTAATCGTGGTTCATTTTACATGTAAACGCTAATATCGGAAGTACTAATAAAATTAATGCAGTAGTTTAACCTCTTTTATTTATTTTAGTTATATGCACTGCAAAATATTTCCATCTACCATATTGATGTTGTGTGTGTTCTAATGTGCAAGTTTTTATATTTTGGTACCTTGTATTTTTCTCTCAAATCTGTTTATTGTTATTGTAGATTACATCCTTATACCATCAGGGCAAAAGAACCAGTTGTTAATGCTTGATGGGTTCACCTTCGCACAGATGCACAGCAAAAGACATTGGTACTGCTCCAAGAAAAAGGCTGGCTGCAAAGCCAAGATTAAAATGGATGTTGACCTTGTAACCGTCATCGAATCATACAGGACACACAATCATCAGCCCCCGGAGTATTATGTGACTAAAGCCGGAGAGTATATTTTCTTTAGACATAAATCGAAAGTATTACCCAATAAAAATATACCAACTTAATAAGATCAATAAAGTGACAAAACAGCCTCACAGAAGACCGACGTGGATAAAACACAACTTTGTGTTTCGCCGCTCTCCAAATCCCTAATCGTAAAATCCATACAACACACAAATGGCCGATAATGAATTCGGAAAATTCCTATCGTTATCGCACCCACGGGCGGTACCAATTGCTTACCATCAGGTGACCGGTCTGTTCGTTTGTCGCCATCACATAAAAACATGGCTTACCCAATCGACCTTGAATTATGTTAGTTAAATTACCAAACTATTGTACATGTTAGAACCAGTCAAGGCTGTGTCAAAAGCGCAAAAAAATACGGCAGTCTCTACTCAGAGCAGGAGTTGAAACGGTGTGGTCAGACTCTTATTGAGGAGAAGACCCAGGGGGATGGAGACAATTTACAAAATGAAATAAAAAGTAAGCACATTACTAAAAATGTGAAACTCCTTGGCAAATAATTTGAACTTAGTCATTTTTCTATTCTATCAAAGAATAGTGTCCATGAAGGGTAGCGCAGGCAGTTTGTAAAAATAAGATGTTTTTTTGCAAATCGAATAAAGTGTATTGTTGAACACTGATTATAGCCCTATTAATTTATCAGTGATCGTATTTGTAAGTGATGTAGCTAATCAGTTTTATGTAAGATTGTGTGCAATAAAATATGAAGAAATTACGGTCCTTTGTTATTCTACAAATGCTCCAAAAACTACCAGATGGCACACAAAAGATATTCCACTTCCAGTTAATTTCGAATATTATTCTAGATCCCATATTTATACCAACTGGTTTGAAGAACAAGTTGCTTATGCTTGGAGGGTTCACTTTTGCACAAGTCAGCAAGAGAAACTGGTACTGTTCGCGAAAGAAAATTGGTTGTAAGGCCAAAGTGAAAATGAACCCTGACGGAGTGACAATAACGAATGCTATGAATTTTCATAACCACAAAGCTCCTCAATACGTGATATCAGAATGTGGAGAATATGTCTTCATAAGAACTCGATCTAAGAAGTGATAAAATACGTTTAAATCAATGCAATATAAGAGGTTTTGTTCTTCAAAAAACATTATTGTTTTGTATCTTCAAAGCGCTCGCCATCAGTCAGTATCATGATCTCAACATATTTTTTCGATCATTAAAAAAGCCTTAAATTTCTTATCCGTCACATTTGCGAACTCTGGCCTTGAATATGATTAGAATAATAAACGATGATAAAAATAAATCGTATGTGTCTTTTATTCAATGAACATTTTAAGTGTTTATTTAAGTTTTTATTAACCATCTTTTTCTTTCTTTCTAAGAACTATATTAAGATTGTGTTGTGTAGATGTACTAAGTGTCCTATATTATAAGTATTTTAATTGTGTTGTATGATTTATAATTATTTTCAGACTACACTCTAATACCAGGTCGTTCGAAAAATCCACTGCTGATGTTGAATGGTTTCACGTTTGCTCAGACGGGGAATACACGATATTGGTATTGTACCAAGAGGTATTTTGGATGCAAAGCTAAGATTAATATGGCTGATGATGGGAGAACAATATTGAAAGCTTTAAATGAACATAACCACCAGCGCCCTGCATATCATGTTACGAGGTCTGGTGAATACGTTCTTCTGAGAAATTATACACGTTGGAACCAGGATCCAGTGCTCCAAGGCCATTGGGGAACAGGCCCTATGGGAGACGGTCTTTACTGAATGGTGAACGGTTAGAAGTCCTCTAAATTTATGTAATGTGAGTTTTGTAGTGAGTGTAGTATTCAATAAATGTCGTGTTTTTCGTGGATATTCTTTAAATATATTTATTCTGTAGATGTAGACTAAAGATTTGTGCAATAAATAATATGTTTGTCTAGTTTGTATTTGTACATATTACTTAAAACGGATACGACAACCAATTTCAATAAAAGATTGCAGAACGTTCTGGATGCTATATAGGCCGACTACGCATTTCATTACTTTGGCCTTGGCCTTGGCCTATCGTTTAGCATCCTACAATGCATCTGTTCCTTTGCCGCTCATAGCATTAAAAAACGTAAAACACAGTTATGGTGTCAATAAAATCATCTTCTAATTCTAGAGTATCAGCTCATCACAATATCTACAGGAAAACAACTAGTGTTATACCAGGGTCATACGTTTTCGTTCCGGAGTCCTTTGAGGAGTCACGCCTATTGTTCCAAGTATATGTCGAAGAAATGTCCAGCCCGTCTTAAATTAAACCCTGATGGTACACTCCGTTCTGCCAGCTATACTATGGAGCATAATCACCCACCTCCTACATTGTATAGAAATTCTGAGGGCATGTATTTTGTAAATTAAAAAACTTGAATGTTTTGGAAATATAATGTCCTGTTGCTGTACCTGTCTTGTATACTTATTAAGTCCTTGCCAACATTACTAATAGATACGAAGTGTTTGTTTCGATCGTCATTATAGCTTAACATACGAAAATGATGGCTTCGTAAACTAACTGAGAAAACCTGCTAATTTAAAACAGGATGTGAACAATTTGAGTGGTCAAGACAATAGTTAAATGCAGAGAAATAGGTACTTATTTAACACTAAAATAAGGACAATAAAACACACACCACTCCTGGCTACTATTATTTGTTGACCACCATATGTGGTTTAGTACCTGCTAAATGCAAAAGGTATTGCAATCATCATCATCATCAGCCTGATTTTGTCCACTGCTAGACATAGGCCTTCCCAAAGTTTTGCAATATTATAGTGGCAATTAGATCTCCTAATTTGTTTAGATTCTGTCACTTTCATAACAATGTTCTCAGGGAAACAAATGGTATTATATCATGGTCACACTTCATCTACCCGGACACCTTTGAGAAATAAAAATTATTTTACTTGTTTTAGGGGATTTACGCGCGCGATTTACCTTTTATTCGTTTTTTTGCTTGACGTTTCGGCAGGGTTAACACCTGTCATGGTAATTCTGTAAAACAGTAAGGTATTAATATGAAAAGCGATAGTTTAAAGCATAAAATAAAAAATATTGCGCCGCGTTGTGCCCGCGGTTCTCTTCTGGCCTGGCGGCGAGCTATCCTTGCTGGACGCGCGACTTCCGCGATTACTTTTGACGGAGATCGAAGCTCGGGGCTCCTGCGGCAACTGGGAGGTAAAGAGGGTCGTCTCCAACCACGCTCTGACTTTTTCTTTGCGAAGTTGACTGCTTCCCAAAGACCCCTTCTTTGGGAAGCAATCAACTTCACAAACGACAACTATCGACAACCCAGTTCTTTTGGGTCGCTACATGTCCTATTGGACTGTTCGGCCTAATGCATTCAACGATTCCGCTAACTTCGAAGCGTTTGCTTTTTTATGACAGATTGGTCAAGTGTGAGAGAGGTCAAGTAAAGTGAATCACACCCTAAGATTACCACTTTACAGTTGTTTAATTTTCTTTAAGGTTTATTTATATGTGTAACTTCGGTATAACGAAGAAGGTGAACTCAAACTCAATTTCCTTATTTTTTATGAATTATAATATAGTGAGAGGTGACTGTGATGTGCAGTTAGCTTCGCGTCTTTGTACGTCTTTCAAAGTATCCATAGTCAAACATCGACAGAGTGCGGTTGAAGTGTTAAACTTGACAACTGCAACATTTTTATGTGGTAATTTTGAATACAAACCAAAAAAAAAATGAATATCATTTATCGGTTGCAGAGTACATGGTCGTGCCTCTATCTGGAAAGAAACAAGTGGTGTTGTACCAGAAATACACATACTCGTTCAAAAACACAAAGAAGACTCACGCATATTGCTCAAAATATATAAAGAAGAAATGTCAGGCTCGTCTGACGTTCGATGCAGATAGAAACATGACAGCAGCCTACACGAAGCATAACCATCCACCTCCAATCTTTATCAAGGACGAATTTTCAGGCACATTTAGATACTATACTCCTCAGAATGTGAAACCTGCCAAACAGAATAAGACAATTAGGGGGGAGAAAATTTTGAACTGTACGGATAAAATTATTTGGTGATTTAAAAAAAAATAGGAATTATTGTTAGCATTTTCATGGAAGAGTCAAATTGTTATCGTAATTATGAACCTTTAATTTTAAACTGTTCTTACTGCTAAGCAGGAGGTATTTCATTGATAACTTCACATGCTCAAGGTAGATTGCTTGTAGATTTATCTTGGAGTAGCCATAGTTTAATAAAATTGAGAGGTTCCTATTATATTTCATTTTAATGTACATATTTATGTATACGTCAGTCATTATGTAGTGTCTGTACATAAACTTGAGTTGACCAAGTAATTTGGTATACAGCATAAATACAGAGTTAGTAGGCAGGAATTGTAATGGCCGGACGTACGACGCGTTTCGCGCGCGCCTCAAAGAGCTAATATACCACCACAGACAGGGCTCTATAGGGCTGATGTTCAGTCAGCCGTGGTCGCGAGGTAAGCGCAATAAAGCACCGCGGTTTTGACCTAGAGCAGGAGAAGGAAGGAGGGGGTTTTTAGTCAGTAAGAGTCTGACACTCCCTCTGGCCTCACACTGGGCGGGAAAAGTCATTTGATGATTTACCGGGAAAAGTCATTTTAGATGTTTGTGATCTACCTCTGTACTAAATCTTTATTATTTTATTTTCTGAACTACATACCAAATTACTTATTTGACTGTACATGTGAATAAGAAGAAGGTCATTTTGAAAGTGCCAGATTCGAATATTTAGTTATTTCATTTAAATATGTCAAGTATCCCTGTAAACAGTAGTACCTATACGTAAAAAATAATGTTTTTTTTATTGATTATGTGTTTAAATAGATTAAGTATTTGATACTGGTTAGCTGCAAGCGATTTATTTAAGCATGGTTTTAGATTTAGGTTAACCTGTTTAACATGTTATGTTTTTTAATTTAAGGGTAAAATTACTTCTAGTTACATTGTTATTTTAAATAGCAATAATAGTTAAACAGTTAAACTGTCTCAAATACACATCTATATAATGTTATACGATTGTATTTTTTAATTAATTTGTTTTAATATGTGATTGTAATTAATCTGTTTTAAAATATTGTTCCTGATTTATCTGGGGATTTGTCTGTTCGTTTGTTGCCATACCCCGTAGAAAATATTATTATTTCATGATTTTTAAACCTGTTCCCTAAAAAACATTGTTTTGTTGTAATAAAAACAATATTTACTTGCATAAATAGTATGATTCTTTAAAAATCTATTCTAAGTAAACAACTACAGTAGAAGCGATTATTTTAAATTATGTAAAATATCGATTTTCGTTCAGCGTTGAATATATGAGACACAAATAAAATACATAAAATAAGGCCAAAACTGCAGCTGTTTTTTCTTAAAGCTTTTTAATTGTAAGTTTTATTTCAATGTAGAAATGTACAATTTAAACTGACTCACACGTCTTCATACACAGGGAATGAATTGGAGTTCTTACCTAGCAGTCGTGGAAGGGGCATGATTCTTCTGTATAAAAATTTTACATACTTTCACATGCACACGAAGACCAGGTGGTATTGCTCGAAGAAACTCTCAGGGTGTCATGCCAGGGTCATCACCAGTAAATATGGAGAACTAGTCAAGGTAATGGGTTGGCACAACCATGACCCGCCCAGGATACATCGCTCACCTGAAGGGAAGATCTATCGTTTTAGAATTTAAGTCCTTTTACTGAGTCTGGGTTGAAAATGCTACTGCGTTTGCTAACCAGAAGGTTCTTGTCTGAACCGATTGTTTTTTCGGTTTATTAGGGTTTTTTAAATTAATAAGTAACATATATTTACGAGGGGATTTACGCGGAAAATTATTATTTGAATACCTTGGTAGGCTTGACGTTTCGTATACCTATATGTTTTTAATATGAAACTCGAAAGTTTAAAAGTTTTTTTTAAATTTATGAAATTCCCTTGGATGTTTTTCTATTTCCGACACGTTAAGTGATTTTACAAACTGACGCTAGCTTAGCACCATCTAGTGAAAAACGGTGTTTTGGATAGTGACAATGGCAATTAAACAGTTTCATAAAATTAAGTTAAAAAATCAAATCATTTTTTCAAATAGACCATTACCTATAGGCACTTTTGAATGTCAAATTTACAATATGTGATTCTTAAAAAAAAATGTTTAAAATTGCTATTTTATGTGCATCTATATGCAACTCTGCCTAAGTCTACTGGGATTGTAAAACGTGACTTTATGTTTTGTTTGTTTTTCGTCATTTCGCACACGACTTTGTGTTTTACGGCCCTTTTTATACGTTCCGGTTTCCAAACGGACGGCAAAAGCAAATACATAATTGTCTTCTTTTGTTTTTTTTTGATTTTTAAAGATTTATAATTTTTATTCCACCACCACCTCAAGTTGGCTGTCTGCTGTGTCTGTATTTTCTCTGTCCTGCATCTCTGCTTAGATTAAAATTTTAAATTAATAGAAATTATTAAATTGTTATCTATGAGTTAAAAATCTACGAATCACTCTACGGTATTATTAAAGTTTCTGTGAAATATGCCTTTAACGAATTATAAAAATAAGTGTCTTCAAGTTTGGATTGGATAGTACACAATAGCAACCTATTTAATCTAAGTTCCAACGCGTGCTTCGTCATTGGCTACTTTAGCGCTTACCACCAGGACAATGAGTGAACGCTGAAATAGTAAAAAAAAAAATGTAAAGTAGGTAATTGCTTATTAAGTTTCCGGCTTACTCGCGTAATTATTTGACGAAGAACTCGATTAGTTTCAAGCCATTCTAGCGGCTCATATTCATGAGCAGCATTCCGCGACACGCGACGCGGCGACTGTCGCGCTGCAACTGCAAATAAATAATTACTTGAGTAAGCCGAAAACATAATAATTAATTTAGTATGATATTTCTCACGAAAGTTATAATAAAAATATTGCTAAATACTTGTTCATTAAAGAAATATTGAAGTTTTCAAGTGCCGTAAATAATAATAGGGACGTTATGTGGATATTGTATTGTTAAAGTATTCATTATCAATTGTGTCACCAAAAAGCGTAGTGGTATGTAAAAATGTGTAAAATAACATTATGTTTTAAAATGAGTCTGTATTTTATATTATTAAGTAAAACTGACTGTATTGAGTTGTACATAATAATTTATGTATAAAAATATAATATAACTTCCAAAAACTTTACAAGTTCGTTGACGACTAATTAAGAGATGACGAGAATAAAAAATATAAGAAAATCTCAATTTTTAATGAGAATTTTCAGTGACTAAGTAGTGTGTTCAAAAAGTTATAAAGTTTGTTAATGTTTAACTACTTAATAGAAATATAGAGGCATTATTTTGTTTGTTTGAATTGTTAAAACGGTCAGATTCTCTAGACAAATGGATTTTAAAAGCTTATTGTAAGAGTGACCGTCATGTCTATGTTTGACATAAGTTATACCCATCTACATCCCCGTTTTATATATCGCATATTTAAAAGAAAAATGAACTAACTAATAAAAGCGGTTATTACAAAATTGAACCTTATTATTAGAACATAATTTTCTATACTCGGAATTTTAATTCCATTCCAGATTTGACAATTTCGGTGTTGCAACGTTATGACACGTAATAAATAGTGACCTTGCGAAATTATTCGATGTGATAATCGAATATTTCTGAATCGATTCCTCTCGTTTATAAATTTACTCTCGTAAACTAAGTTTAAATGGTAAATGGTTGTTCCGAGTCTGGGTGTGATGTGTACGTAAATTCCTGGCCCCCAATACTTTCACCTCAAATCCCCTAGTCGTAAATCCCTAACAAACCACAAGAGGCAGGTGAATGCACTCGTAGTAACTCCTTTGGTATTACGAGCGTCTATGGGCGGCGCCGATAATTTACCGTCAGATAATTCGTCGGCTCTTTTGCATACCTATGACCAAAAGAAAACGCGTGCTATGAGAAAAAAGTGTGCTTCTTATCCGATATCCGAAACTATCTAAAAGTTATTAAATGAATATTGTTACGAATATATTTTTACGGGCTGATTTTTCAATAGTCAGATAAATGTTATCTGAGGAATGAGATTGTTGCTGTCACTGTCTTATACAAACATTCTGACGCGACAGCATCATAATTATTCCCCAGGTAACTTTTATCTAACCATTGAAAAATCAGCCCTAAATAGAATATCCGAGTTTCTGAGCGCTACGCTACTCTTTCCGAGCTCTACAACAATTATTACCATAATGCATTGATATTTCTATTTGCTTGTTCAACTAGTGTTTTAATGCAATGTTTCTAAGGAGACTCCATACAGATTATTTACTATAAAAAGTCTTTACTAAGTTATAAAATAGAGATTAAATATTTTTTCATAAAAATTGTGGTTTACGTTATACTAATTTATGTGGTTTTTCCCCAATTTTACTAAAGGTCAACTAGTAGCGAATGAATTATCATCATGGATATCCTTTTCAATAAAACTCATCTATAAGGCTACAAAGATATACTGAATTACATTTACAGTTTGAGTAGGTACGACTGCGTAATTTAGATTTTTGTAAGGGTTGAAATATAATAGCCACTCGCGCAGTTTCACCCGCTGCTCGGCTTCTGATAGTAGCGTGATTTTTATTACCTATAGCACTCAGCGACATTGTAGCTGTTGATCAGTGAAATAATACATACATAGTTACAAATTACAAATTTTGCCTATTTATAATATTATACATTCAGTCAACAAAGTATCGGGAATGAATGTTTTTTTTATGGTTCCAAATTCGAATTTTATTTTTTTTTGTTTTTGTTAGATTGGCATAACTGTTTTCCATTTTGGCGCGGAATTTGAGTTGCATCTGTTATTTATATTAAAAACAGTTGTTTTTAGTTTTATAATATCTAGTGTGTATTGCGAATTTCATAATGGACAAAAACATCGAACAAAGAGTTTGTCTTAAATTTTGCATCCCCAATGAAGTTTCGTGTTCGGAGGCACTCAAAATGTTACAGAAGGCTTACGGTGAATCGACTTTATCAAAAACACGTGCTTATGAGTGGTACAAAGCGTTCAAAAGCGGTCGAGATGTTAACATCGCAAAAGTGAAGGAAATAGTGACTAAAAATCTTCATTCAAGTTTGAGAGAGATGGCCGCCGAACTTTCTGTATCTCACGAGTCGATCCGTACCATTTTAACAAATAATTTGGGTATGAAAAGTGTTGCCGCTCGGCTAGTCCCAAAAGACCTGAATTTTCTTCAAAAACTAAATCGCATGAAAGTCGCTGAGGACATGCTAGAACGAGTCAATACCGACCCAACATTCATGAAACGCATTGTTACTGGTGACGAGACGTGGGTTTACGAGTTTGACATGAAAACTAGTCAACAAGCTTCGGAATGGCGCCTTCCAACTGAACCAAAACCGAAAAAACCACGTCAAAGTCGATCAAAAGTCAAAGTCATGTTGACTGTTT